TAATGGTTTGATTACAATCTAAGTATTTAATTTCTCTAAATTTGCGATCAATACCAAGCCATTAAATTATAATATAATAGATATGCATAAAGTAAAAACAAAAAACAATACTCACTCAATTTAAGAAGTTGTACTGCTAATTGAGGACATGAAGCACACATTGTAGCCAACATCCTTATCACCATTACAAATGTTCCTGTACTGATTATTGGTGGTGATACCAATAATAATTGTTGAATATTTGACAATAAATTGTTCTCGGTAATTTGTTGCAAAATTTCTGGATGATGTTGAAAACTTTCCACTAATCGAGAAAATGCTAAGCACAAGCTTTCAAGGCATTTTTTATCTTGATATTTAACCAGATGGGAACCCAATGTAGACAATGAATCTTTAACATAAGAAAATTCTTCTCGGGTTAAATTTTGACAACAATTGGCAGTTATTGAAAGTGCAGCTCGTTGAGCATTAATTGTGAAAAAATCTAAATATGATAAACAAGCAGGTACACCACCAGCGTGTAAAATAGCTTTACTATGTCGTCGAGAAAGCATCTCTAAGGCTGTTAATGATTGCTCTGCAACATCCATACATTGAATAAATTGTAGTTTCTCAAGAAACGCTGGAATAGCGTCAACCACGATAGCTGATGACCGTGGTAATGATTCCATCATGTATGTTAATGCTCTACAGGAATGATTCATTATATCAAAATTTTGTTCTAATTGAAGTAATGCTATTAAAGCAGGTACTGCTTGCTTTGCTGGAAAACCTGCTAAAGTATCTTCATTTCCCATTACAAGTAATTGGCACATTTCCATCACAGCCTGTAACTGTTGTCCTTCATCTCCTTGAGCTTGTAATCCTTGAATCAACTGATGAGCTCTACTACTCGTTTTATTTCCCATAGATCGATGAAGAAGATGATGAACTCTAGGACCAAGAGCACTAAATAAATGTGGTGGTAAACCTCTTGCTTCCAAAAGTGCTTGTAATCTACCCATCTCATTATCATCAGGTTCACTATCCAAAGCACCAGAGCTAGATAAGGAAGACAAAGGCAAACTGCTACTACTACTACTTCCCCCACCACCACTGCTACCACGGTCACCACTGCCACCTACTAATTCCAATAACACCACTAACGCCATTGTTT